GGTTCTCTAATACCACATGACAGCTTGATCGGTAGAGTGTTGGCCTCACAGTGGGTTTGAATCCTGTTTGGGGAAACTCTGCTTTGATCCTTGAGAAATGGATAGATTAGTACCATCATGAGGCAGGGGAGCGAGTGAACTGCATGTAGTAACGGCTACTAAAATATGGGTACATCCTTCAATAAATATGACACTCTTAGCTATGGCAATTAAGGAAGGGATCACCGTAAGCTTAATTGGGACTTCAAGTCCAATTTGCCGTTGCTACTTGATCGACAAACTCCTGAAGCATTGATTCACTACGACTTTTATGTCCAAGGTTTACTAGCTACGACTGTTCTTTTGCTCCGGATTTTCCACTAATCAGCGATACCCATGGACTGGATGAAACGATCGGGCCAGTTGCTCAGTATGGCTGTCTGGTTCGCAATCTCAGTCTAGGCCGGCTTCGAAGGGGCTTTGCGAAGAGTCAACTTAGCAAGTCCCCTTGGTATGCTGATCACATGCGTAATGGCGGTATCGATTTGGAAAGAAGCTGTTCAAAAGAGGGCATATTTGGATTAGTGTGCTTCAAATCCTATCGATTCTCACTGCATCAGAGGTCTTTTAAAAAAATTCATTTCCTTTATCTGCACCTAGATCTCTCTCGTTCGACAAATACTCGAGACTCATCCTCGAGGAGGTGGAGTGCTTCCGAAGCATTGCTGTTATTTACTTTCTTTTCCAAAATGACTTCGCGATAATGATGATCCATGGCAAGGCGTGACACGAAGTCAGTCATGATTTATTCACCTTTACTGTCGATTCCTCTCGTGACGCGACAGTCAAAAGATGAGGCGGCATCGTCGCCTTTTGCCGAGAAGAGACTCGAACAAGCAAAACGTCACACATGCTGTTGCATCAAATGACAGCACAATTGCAGGTGTGGAATGAACAAGCCGTTGTCTACTTTCAACTGCACCGTGTTCTTGTTGCAGTTTGCAACTCTCAGCAGTCGCGCATGATTGCCTATTCATAAGGCGGATGCCGCGAACGTCGGCGTTGCTTTCTACGAACTGTCGCCTAAGAATCGTTTCTACCGCCGCATAAGTAACTTCCACCAGTGACTTGTTTCCTAAACTCAAAGTAGGTAAGTCATTCAGCAACATGTATCTCTGGACGACTGTCTGATTCTACCTCAATCTGACTCATCCTCTGTATCCGTGTATGATATTCAAGCTTCTTTAGCATACTTTCCAGGCCTGTGCCATCAACAGTTGTTGACATGAAGAATACCAGAATACGTCATCGTTGCCAACCTCTCTCAATCCTGAAATTCTCCCTAACACCATATGCTAAGTTTGTTAGTTTGCACAACAAGAACGATGATGGCTGGTGAGAATATGATGTACAAACAGCTGTTCTCGCAATTTTGTTTCTTTCAGAGTCCTTGAGAAGTGCCAGGTGAAAAAGTGTTGCACCCTTTCTCTTGCAAATATTTTGGACACTGGTATTACATCTGTTAGTTTGTTAGATGCTAAATCTGATTAACGATCATAACTGATTTCATTTTTAAAAATATGAATATGCGCATGCTTGTGACTCGCAGTCTTTTATTTGTTTCCGTTTTCTACCTGATGTTACATCTGGCAAGGAAAGAAGTGGATATTATTATTATTTAATTTTGAAAGAAATCCTAGCACTTGAATCAAAATAATTGAAAGTCGAGACATATATACAGCTGTCAAATAGAACAGGGCCCCAATGGAGAGGTCACTTCCGAGAACGCAGTTTCGATAGCCAGGAGGTCCGCTTGTGACAAGGATCGACAGGCTTTAAGACGTTTGTCACATGCTCTCTGTTGAATGCTTTGAGCAGCGTGGAAGAATGTTCTCGGTGTTCCTTCTTGCCACATAGCAGGGACGGCTTCAATCTTGGCAAGTTGGAAGATTCAGGTGTCTTGGACGTGTCTCTCTGTCCGTCTGCCTCGTTCTTGACATCGTGTGAAGCAGGATCGTGGCCATTTTCATGCGTGTCCAAATTACTATTCATTTTCGGTTCTGACAAAAGCGGTTGGCTGCCGATCGGCTTCATGTCGCTACCAGTGGATTGAGGGTCCACGATCAAATCGTCACTGGTGAAGCTGATACTGAAAATATTCGAGCCACTGCTTTCCGGTGTACAGCTGGCTGTCTGTTTTGTCTCGTCAGGCTCTCTTAAGCCCACGCACTTGCTCTTATCATCTGAACTGTCTTTGGCGACAACAGCCTTGGTGGTGATTTGCTCACTTTCTAGACCAAGGAACGTTTTTCTTCGGTCTTCAGATTTTCCCTTGTCCACTTCTTCTTCCTCTCCTCTTGTAGAAAACGAATTTTGAGGCTTGTAGTAAATGTCATGACGACGGGGCAGCGAAAGATTCTTGACTCCCGGTCTGAGGTCACGTTGGCACCTCATACCGTACACCAAGGAAGTAGGTGTCTCGAAATGCTTCACAGTAGTTGTCAACAAATCCGGCTTCTCGAACGTCGCCTTCATCGTGCGCACATGGCCAGCGTCAGCGAGACGTATCAGCGACGGGTTCTTCTGTCTGCTCAGTCTAGTAACCGACGACAAGGGAACGGGCTCCCGTCGACGCTGGTTTGCGCTCGTTTGGATTTCTTTGTACGTTGCTGAGGAAAGCGACGATTGCGAGGACCGCTCTCCAATGTCCGCCAGTCCTTCGAGATTTCGAACACCCAAGGATACACCTCTGTCCCCTGAATTCTCACGTTGACAGCCAGAGGCCGAAATCCAGCTTCTGCGGAAGTCACCAATGCTGCTGTTAGATTGTCTACCAGCCGTAGGCGATCTCTTCTGACTTTTCAACCCCGAAGACTCACCTTCATGACCTGACATTTCTAGAATTTTCCGTGCAAGGTACGTTTAACAAAAGACAAGAAAAATGGCAATTACTTTTTATTGATTCGATGAACTCCATAAATTCTGATTCGAGAAGGTCATCGTTGACGTAAAGCGTCAGGTCGGATTCGTCGGCCTCTGTCTTGACCATTCTTGAGCCGTAAAGTTTAAATGGCAAATAGAACGACAGCTGTGGATTTACCTGCAAAACAAACGGCCACTTGAAGAATTCTTTAGAGCAACTTTCACCACCACTTACGGTACGATTTAGTAAATCCTGCCCGGAATAAGACAGAGAACGACGAACATCGGCGTGCAATTTGTTGCTTTGTTCGAGTTCGATCTTTTGCCTCTCGAACCTAGCATGGGCAAGTAGCAGTGAGATTTGAGTCTGCAGCAGTTCCGTAGAAGTGTTTGAAATTGCAAAGTGCTTTTCCAGCAGTTTCTTTCTCACTGCATGTAACTAAAATAGTGCGCAATTTTAGAATAGTTAATGAGGTCAAATCATTGGTTAAGTCGTAATGGTTAGCTGTCCCACAAACACTCGGCTTCCTCAAGCCACCACCCAGATTTCCGAGGCAGCTATCCCTCCAATCCGCTGGTACATGAAAGTAGGTTCACGAATTCCTTCTCTAAGATCAGATTTCCATGCGCCAAATATTGCCTCTGCACTTTGCTACTGTTTGTAGAAAGGGTCATCTAAGCAAACCAAGTTCAATAGAACTTGCGCATCAACAATGATAGACAGGGATGTAAACCTGCTGTACGCAATCACCTAAAAAATATGGGTTAGTACGCTAGACTATGTCAGCTAGCCAATGCGTTACTGCCCAACTGCATCGCCGCTTTACTCCTACTTATCTAAGGGGATCATTTAAGCAGAACACAGCTCCATGATAACTTAGAAGTCGCAGTGCAGATTCAGAGGGGGAGGTGACGCAATGCCCTCTCAAATAGAGTCTCAAATGACTTATTCCACAATCATAACAGAAATTGAGGTTAGTCCTTTGTGGAATGCTCTAGAAAGCGCAATGAATTTCATATCATGTGTATGGAAAGTGAAAGCGCCTGAAACGGCCAAAAAAAGATCGAAACGACTATGGACAGATGAAGTCAGAAGCCTTAGGAAAAGTAGCATCATTTACGTGTGCAGCATCTTCTACATAAATGATACTTGAAGCATTGTTTCGTCGGGTAAGCAACATTGAAATAAACCAGTCCCTGGTATTCTGGAACACATGGACACGTGACGCGAAATTTCTAGAACAAGAATGCTGACTAGACCCTGAAGAAGATCTGTGAAACCGTAGGTTAAAGGTTTATCAAGTCGACAAGTGATTCTGCTACTTGTGTTCGGTAAGTTATTTACTCTGTGACTTTCATGACATCGAACTGATGATGAGTTTCGTTCATCTTTGCATTTATTCCTTCAGCCATATAGCTGTTCATTCATTCATTAATTCATACTATCATTTATTGATCCATTCGTTCACTCATATGTTTATTAATTCGCACACAAGGTCATTACTTCATATAGTTTAATCCGTCCTTCATTCCATTAATGCCTTCGTTTTTTCATGTTTGTTTCTTTCCATTCTTTTTACATTGTGCTGTCCGTTTGTTCATTCACTTGTTCTAACAGCCCGCTATTGCATTCGAATTGCGTAAACACCTATATAATAATGCCCTTCCAATGGATTCACACCTTATGTGAATTAAGAAGCCTTTACTGACCGTGTCCCCTGAACCGACAGTAGGACAGATTTAAGCTCTGATCTCAGATCTCGCTCTCTGCCCTTTGCCAACCTTTCATATGGCGCTGTTAATAGTGTCTAACTTCTCGAGCTCTGTTGACAACTGTAAAAATGTCAAAACAATGAAGG